GCGTTTGATTAGTCCCTTTTGGAATTTGTTGCCCTTATCTCTGGAGCCTCCCTGAACTCTTCTGAAGTCCCTGAAGCTGCCTCATTATCCCTACTCGCTCTAGGACTCAGCCTTAGAGTGGTTCTCCCTGCCGTGGTCCACCTGTCTCAGAGTGATGCTGCTGTTGTATCCCTCACCTCTTAGGCCCAGGTGGGAGCATCCATGTTTGCGCATGCCCCATGCTTTCTGGGCCCAGGTGTCCGTCATTAAAGGCGCTCACGGGCCTCTGTTCAAGCGAGGGTAGGGTGTAGAAAAGCCTGACCACTCCATGTACCCTGCACTCAATCCCTTTCATCAAGCATGGGCTACCTTACAGGGTGTACGTGTCCTTTCAAAACCCTCTGGTGGAGGCTTTGGTGAGTTTGAATTTTGGAAACTAAAAATATTTTGAGGGAGTGTGGCCTAACAGTTGCTGCTAGGTGGGACCAGCTAGGATGGTGTGTCGTCTTATACAGAAATGCCAGAGTTTTGTAAGACTATTGTTTTCCTCTGCCGTGGGGAGGGTGTATCCTTAGAGGAGCCTGCATCCTCTTGGGACACTAAGCCGTGGACCCTGGTTGAGGGCAGGGAGGAAAGAGACAGAAGCAGGGTGAAAAGTGGCACCTGTTTGCTAACAGAGCAAACAGGTTGCTTGAAGGACAAGTTCAATCATGAGGTGTAAGTATATTTTTGTCCATCTTCCAACAAATGTTCTCTTTTTTGTAGAAAGTCTGACAGATTCCTTAAAGGCGTGACTGTCAAAACTCCCCGCTGGGGCCCTTTGAGAGAGAGGCAGGGGACTGGAGTCCAGGATTCTGCCTCCTGTTTTCATTCCCTCTTAAAAAAACCACCCTTATTGAGATACAGCCCACATACCACTCAGAGCACCCAAAGTGTTAATATATTCAGAGTTGTGCAGCTCTCACCGCAGCTTTTATCTGGTTTTGTCTGTGGAGGCTCTGAAGGAGATGTATTTGAAAGAGGAAAATATTCTGCCACTGAAATTAGGTTTGAGATGACTCCTGTCACCTTTCTGTAGTTGAAGAACCTGTTCTGCAGACAATGCGGTTTTCAAGGTTTCTTTCAAACCCCAATGAGAACCAGGAAATAAACTTGATTTCTGAGACTGATGGGGCAAAACCTACAGCAGCTGTTCACTTTTTTCATAGAAGGGTCACTAAGGCCTTATTTAGCATGTTTTAAAAGTCCCTTTGCACCTCACTAATATTGCTAGAAGAGATAAGACTTGGTGGAGTTGGGGCCATAGGAAAGACCCTTGCATGTGGTTGAAATAGGCAAATAGCCAGGATGGGGGGAGGTCTCTAATCAGCAGCTGGGGTGACCTAGAGAGGGAACAAATGCCCAGCACCCCTGCCACCCCTTCCCTGAGACTTTACTGCGGGACTTGTTGCAGTAATGGACAGCGAAAAGCAAAGAAGACCAGAGTCATTTTAGCAAAAGGTGCACCCCAAAAAGTCTTAAGAGCTGGAAGTTGGGGACCAGACTGGGCGAGCTTCTGCTGTTCTGTGAACAGTTCATTGGCACACTCTTAAGTACTCAGTGAACTTCTTTTGTTCATTTTCCCCATTGGAAAGATCAACGGTAA